AATTCAAACACTTGAATGTTAAAGAGGCTAATACCCCGTTAGATCCAAGTATCAAATTGATAAAGACCGATGTGAGAGCAATATCTCAAATAGAATATGCAAGTGCAATTGGAAGTCTTATGTACGCAATACAATGTACAGGACTTGATGTAGCATATGTCGTGAGTAAATTAAGTAGGTTTACTAGCAATCGAGGTTCCGAACATTAGAAGGCCATTGATAGGGTTCTTGGTTATTTAAAGGAAAAAAATCTTGGATTACAATATACAAGATCCCCTAAAATCTTGGAAAGATATACTGACGCAATATGGATATCAAGTGCAGGAGAAAATAAGTCCACTTCAGGTTGGGTATTTACTCTTGGAGGAGGTGCAGTTTCTTAGAAGTTTAAGAAACAAACTTGCATTGCTCACTCAACAATAGAGTCAAAGTTTGTAACATTGGCCGAAACTAGAAAAGAAGTTGAGTGGCTAAGAGATTTATTATATGAACTATCTTTAGATATATAGAATATTTCTTCAATACCTATCTTATGTGATAGTCAAGCTACTCTTGCTCGGGCTTATAATGAAGTATATAATGGAAAGTCTAGACATATGAATCTAAACACACAAGTATGTAAGGAAGTTAATAAAGCATAGAATAATTTCTCTTACATTTGTTAAGTTTAGTGAGAACTTAGCAGATCCGTTTACTAAACCTCTCAAGAGAGAAAGCGAGAGAGAGAGAGAGAGAGAGAGATTAACATCAAGTAGGATGTGATTAACACTCCTTAATTAAATCCATCAATGATAGAAACCCTACCAAAAATATACTAAACAAGTATATTTATGTCCGAGGGGTAATAACAAGTCATTCGATAAATGGATGGATCTCAACACTATTAAATCTATTAGACCCTATTTTCAGTAAATAGTGTCGGTCGTTACTGTTGGAAGGATGTGTTATAATTAAAACTTTTAATAAAGTTTAGTATGGAGTGCAAGTACCTCTAAAAGTAACAAAGATACTAGAAGAACTTCACCAATGTGAACTTCGAGGTGGTACCGTCTCATTAGAGAGTTGGAGTTGTCTCTCTTTAAAAGTTCAAAAAATAGGATAAGTATAAGACCATATTAGCACTAAACAAGTTAGAGGAACTTGTGGAAATTTAAGACCTGTATGTGTGATTTCATCAGTAGTCACATGAAATCACCGATTCAAAGCGTTTTAGCTACCTGGAATGTCGTTAATACTTTATCAGATTTACACTATGGTTAGATTCAAATCGAAAGATATTTTCATTTTTATGCATGAGTGTTGATATTTGATTTTTGATTAAAGTTGATTTTCAACAAGTGGGAGATTGTTGGAATCTTGTTGTTCAAAATCGTAGTTGGATGAATTGAAAAAAAGAAGAAAAATATATTTGGCACCATAAAAATGGAATATGCCTATGCTACCGCATAGGCCTTAAAGGCATGAGGTCGCATTGGTGACTTCAGGGAAATCAAAGGTGACATTTGCTATAACTATGCGACCACATAGTTATCGCATATATGGTCGCATAGTAGAAAAATCCGACTGGTGAGCTGGATTTTTTTCGAATTTTCTAGTGGTTGATAAATGAAGTATTGCACCTTTTGATTTAAGCTTCGAACCATTTCGTATGGGATGGTTGAAACCTATAAATATTTGTTGTGCACATCAAATTAAACATTGATCATTCATCCAAAATTTTGAGATAAATTTTGTCAATTTACATAATCAAATTATTCCTCATTTTTTCACTTGTTCTTTTGAAGATTCATTTTTGCCTTTGGTGATCTTCATAAAGTTTGTTTAATCTTATAAACTATTTGCCATTAAATCCTTAAAAGCATTGTAGATGAGGGAAATATAGTTTGATGACAACGATATTATATTCGTGTTCAAGCCTTTGTCGATTTTTTTTTTATCACCTTCTTACTTATTTTCTCCATTACTGTATTTTACTATTTGTTTTGATAACAACATATTCAATTAACGATTCGTTAAAAAAATTTATCAAGCTTGATTTTACTCATGGGCGGATGGAGAGGGGGGTTGGGCTGGGCAGCCCAATTCAAATTGGTTCTTAAAAATTGAAAGATTTAACCCAAATTCTTGGTAAAAATAAAAAAGAATAAAAATTTAGTCCATCCAAAAATTAATTTTAGTTCAACTATATTCTCAACTCAAACCCAATGTTCAATTATTCAAATTTAGTTTAAGACTTTACAACAATTACATATTTATTTTATTCATATTCATGATACACAAATAACTCGTTACCAAATTAGATATTTTGTTTCGCACATACATATATAATTAAGTTTAAAGAGTTCACTTATAATCAAATTAATTTATTATATAATAAATATTTTTTATTGATTAAAGATAAATGACATATTTGAACACTAGGAAATGTCACATGTTTGACTAAGTTTAAAAGTAATTAAATTTTTTATAATGTATTTTTTAATTAATTTCTATTTTATACTTGTGACTTAAGAATTTTAACCTTGTGACTTAAGAATTTATTTATTTCAACCATGAAATAGATGTTATTATCAAAATAAGTAATATGCTCTATATTTAATTTTATTAGTTAAAAATATATTTGTTAGAACTTTGTTATGAGTGTCCCAAAATATATTCTGACCCACATTATTATGAGTATTATGAATTTAACCTTTTAAATTAAATCTCGAGTGGTATAGAGTATTTTTTATGGTATCAGTTCATTGAAAAAAAAATTGAATTTCAACCCACCCTAACCATCTTTCTGTCTCCACCCTATAAAACTCACTTTTAAATAACTAATTGTTATGATTAATTTAATCTAGAGGGCTTGTACTTTAAATTAATTGATCCCTTTAGAAATATCATATGGTAATTAATACACAAACTTTCCCGAAATATATGCGTCCATCCATGTGCACGTGTTTATACATACAGAAATACACACATTACATATGGGTAAATTGTATATTTGGCTCCCAACATTTGCACGAAGTTACGGTATTGTCCTCAACTTTAAGATGATTTCCGTCATCTAATTTTTGCTGTTAACTGAGTCACATGAGTTTTAGGGCCTGTTTGGGAGGGATTAAATTTTTCTACAGTAAATTAATTCTCATTTTCAACCACACATTCTTCAATAAAATAATATTTTTCATCACATCAATAATTTTTTCTTCCTTTTCAACCACACATTTCCTATCATATTACTATTCAAAATCAATTCTTCCTCCAAAAATATCTCCCAAACAAATAAAGGATAAAACTGTCAAGCCACTTAAACACTATTCCTTATTTGACAAGGATTAATATAATATTTTTAGTAGATTTTGATAAAAGTTGATGAAATGTATGATTGAAAAGTTGTGTATCCCATAAAATGTGTGATTGAAATTAATTGTTGATTTAAATTTAGATTAAAATCTTGACTTTAATCCTCACCAAATAACAAAATATTAATATTTTAGCTAACAACTATTAAAATAAAAATCATACAGGGAGAAAAAGGAGAAAAAATTGTCTTCCTTGATTATAACCGCACCTTATTTCCCCTCCACGAGGCTTAACTCGTTGGAGGTTATTAACTAGTTGTTTATTCATTCATTTTAATAGTGGCTTTACATTTTTGTAGATTCGCTCGTGCAATGCGTTAGCAGAAAATTTGGATCGAAAGTATTCTTCAGGCTTAACTCTACTAATTTATGGAAGATTCGAGACAAGAATACGACATGAAAATGGTTAGAGACAAGATCGCAACTTTAAGAAAAGGTTGGGACTAAATATGCAATTTTCAACTGGAACTTAGCCCTAATTAGGCAACCATTTCCATAACCATTATTAGAAGTCATTCACTTCATTTAAGCCCTCTTGTCTCCTCATCATCTACCCTGTTCACACTCACACACACACACACATATAGAGAGAGAAATGGAAACGGCGTCGTTCCCAGACCCTCCAAATTCCCCTCCAAATGTATCTTTTGCACTAAGGGGACCTCACACCAACAAGTTCCTTCGANTCACTTTTAAATAACTAATTGTTATGATTAATTTAATCTAGAGGGCTTGTACTTTAAATTAATTGATCCCTTTAGAAATATCATATGGTAATTAATACACAAACTTTCCCGAAATATATGCGTCCATCCATGTGCACGTGTTTATACATACAGAAATACACACATTACATATGGGTAAATTGTATATTTGGCTCCCAACATTTGCACAAAGTTACGGTATTGTCCTCAACTTTAAGATGATTTCCGTCATCTAATTTTTGCTGTTAACTGAGTCACATGAGTTTTAATAAAGGATAAAACTGTCAAGCCACTTAAACACTATTCCTTTTTTGACAAGGATTAATATAATATTTTTAGTAGATTTTGATAAAAGTTAATGAAATGTATGATTGAAAAGTTGTGTATCCCATAAAATGTGTGATTGAAATTAATTGTTGATTTAAATTTAGATTAAAATCTTGACTTTAATCCTCACCAAATAACAAAATATTAATATTTTAGCTAACAACTATTAAAATAAAAATCATACAGTGAGAAAAAGGAGAAAAAATTGTCTTCCTTGATTATAACCGCACCTTCTTTCCCCTCCACGAGGCTTAACTCGTTGGAGGTTATTAACTAGTTGTTTATTCATTCATTTTAATAGTGGCTTTACATTTTTGTAGATTCGCTCGTGCAATGCGTTAGCAGAAAATTTGGATCGAAAGTATTCTTCAGGCTTAACTCTACTAATTTATGGAAGATTCGAGACAAGAATACGACATGAAAATGGTTAGAGACAAGATCGCAACTTTAAGAAAAGGTTGGGACTAAATATGCAATTTTCAACTGGAACTTAGCCCTAATTAGGCAACCATTTCCATAACCATTATTAGAAGTCATTCACTTCATTTAAGCCCTCTTGTCTCCTCATCATCTACCCTGTTCACACTCACACACACACACACATATAGAGAGAGAAATGGAAACGGCGTCGTTCCCAGACCCTCCAAATTCCCCTCCAAATGTATCTTTTGCACTAAGGGGACCTCACACCAACAAGTTCCTTCGAAGCATCTCCACAAAAGAGCCACCGCTCACGGAGGCACCATGCACTCCGCCCCACCTCACCACCTCCCTCTCCGTCAACCTCCACAGTTACTCCCACTCTCAGCCTTCAACACCCCGCCTTTCCTTCACCCTCTCCAATAAACTCGATGACCTCCACACAACCTACGGATGCATTTGTTCAGTCCTGAAAAAAGACTGCGAGATTATCTCCGTCGCCGCCTCCGGCGGCCTTGTCTACACTGGGACACAAGGCAACACCATTCGTATATGGAAGCTGCCGGAGTTCACAGAATGTGGGCAGCTCAAAACAAAGGCATGCATGGTTGTTGCATTGGAAGTGTTAAATGATATAATATATGCAGCATATTCCGATTGCAAGATTAGGGTTTGGAAGAGAACTTGGGAAGGAGTTATTAAGCATAGAAGAATTGCCACCATACCCAAGACCGGAAGTTATGTTCGGAGCTACTTCGCCGGCAAGGATAAGATGGTAATTTGACATGTTTATGGATACTCTCTCTTTTTTAGTCAAAAAACACATAATAGTTTAGGCAGGGTTTTATGCGTCACCTAGACTAATAAAAATTTTAGATTCCTAGACCCTAATTTTTATACAAGAACTTCCTTCAAAATTTTTGTCAAATCTTTCTGGCAAGAATTAAGCTCCTTTGCCAGATGAAATTTGCCCACCCGGTTGACCTACTCTCACATTCGAGTGGGACCCGTGCCGACCCCACATGAATAAAAAATGAAAAAACATACCCCCCACCCACCTCTATTGTGTGTGTATGTCAACTAGGGTGTCAAAAAAATTCTGGCACCCTAGCTTGATTGTTCTGGCAAAGCAACTTTATCCAAACAAGATAAGCACAAGTTGGAGGGGGAGCCTTACCTCCAGAAGTTGCATCTAGGAGGAAAATGAGAAATTTTAACAAGGAAAATTCTACTTGTACCTAATAGGCGCCCCCCAATAGGGGGCCGCCACTTGTCGATTTCGTAATCCATTAGGTAAATTATTATGTACATGTAGCTTGGTCTAGAAAAGTTCTCAGTAAAAAGAAGTAATTTTAAGAATCGTGATTCACTAAATAATTAAAGTAAATAGTAAATTTAATTTACATACAAGGACAACGAGACCTTAATAATTAATTTGGCATTTATGACTTAATTATCATTCTACAATTGTCTAGACTTATACGGCCCACAGATAAGCAAACATTATTGAGTTAGCATTGTTTTACACTTTTGAATTTCGAGGAAATAAAGTAACATATTCTTTTCGTGATTTTTTTTTTTTCTAAATCATGTATGTATAGTCGATTGTACAAAATATGCTTAGTGTTATTTTAGCAAGAGCCTTTAATTGTCAAATGGTTTGCTTTAAACATTTCAAGTGAATGAATAAAAATCCCGAGAAATTTTTCGTTATCTACAATGATAGAAAATCTCATTTATTAACTATGCTATATATAATATTTTATTGAAGTCGAACCTAAACTATATTTGTATGAGGATTCATTATTTCTGTTTCTTTGATATTATGTTATCGTTTTATACCTAGCCTATTATTATTCTTTTCATTTTTTACTTTTTTATTGACGAATTCTGCTTATTTTCACACCTAGCAATTACATTTACAACATACATCATTGACAAGAACGAATTTCTTGTTAATTATATTAGGTATTTTGATTCAAGAAGAGGTAGAAAATAAAATTCTGATAATTCAAATTACTCTAATTTCTTCCTTTATTTCCATTTCAAGAGAAAAAATTTATGGGCTCTCACCAAATATTTATTAGCAGCATAAACAAGGCAAAGTGTTAGTCGAGCTCATCTAGCTGTAATAATGAATTCTGTCCATGACTCCAACGTCAATTATTAAATTCATCGAAAATTGCACTAAATAACTGAATTGAAAGCAACCATTCAACAACTTTTTGGACTATTCATGCAACGTACCAAACTCATTAAGTCTGCTCAATTATGTGCAATTATAAATTAAAGTTGCTTCCCATTGAAATTTAAAGTTGCATTCACTAATTCAATCATTTCTATTAGTTAAAGTATATAAAATGGGCGATTTGATTTGTGTACATATATACCTAAATATTTGACTTCTTGAGTTAACAGATGAGGCACGTTGGACCAATATCATCACTAGCAATCAACCTATCGGAAGACATTTTGTACTCGGCTTCCCTTGACAAGACCGTAAAAGTTTGGCGAATTTCCGATTTCAAATGCATAGAGACAATCCAAGCTCATCCTGAGCCTGTCAATGCAATTGTTGTGGCTGACGATGGGGTCCTGTATACAGCATCTGATGATGCCACAGTGAAAGTGTGGCGACGCAATTTTTGTAGTGGTTCTCGACCTCATTCACTCACAGTGACCCTACCGGCGAAATACTCCCCAGTCAAGACTTTGGCCTTAACCCTAGATGGTGGGGTGTTGTACGGTGGTTGTACGGATGGTTATGTACATTACTGGTTAAAGGGTTGGTTCTCAGGCCAAGTGCAATATGGTGGTGCACTCTTAGGGCACACTCACGCCGTGATGTGCTTAGCTAGCATGGCAAATTATGTGGTGAGTGGGTCTGCTGATTCAACCAGCCGAGTTTGGATAAAAGAACAAGATGGTCAACACACTTGTATTGCTGTGCTCCAGGGGCACATAGGACCTATCAGGTGTGTTGCTGCATTCCATGGACAAGGTTCAGAGGAGAGTGCGGAGGAAGGTTGTACGATTTGCACTGGAAGTCTTGATGGAGTCCTTGAAGTGTGGAGAGTGAGAATCACAAGCCAAATTCGAGATTCGTCCCAATATTCTTGCTAGTTCTTTGAGCTAGCTTGAAGTGATTGTACATTTTTCTAAAACAATGGGCAAACTCGTTGAAATTAGAGAGTTACAACACTTGAGTGTACAATGGATTTGTGAACGTATTGGCTTGTTTGGTAAGTAGATCGTTATCAGTATTATTTAAGGAAAAAAAGTTAAAATCTTGTTTATTATATTGGTTAGTATTTTCTAGTATTATGTTTGAAATTCGTATCATGTTTTATTATATGTTCACTATTAATGGTTGAATCTAAAATGAACCATCTTTTAATAAAGTTAATTCCCAGTTGTCTCGTGTTAGACAATTTTTTTTTTTTTGAGATTACAAGTCGGACAAAATTTATTTTTTAATCTCACATTTTATTAAATCAATAACTTATATTTACTTTTTAATCACGTATTAAAAAACCTATCAACTTATAGCTCTTGTTTGATTTTGATATTTTCATAATCAGTTTTTCTCAAACTCATTTTCAACGCTCATTCTTTTAAGAAATAAATTTGCACATGAATTCATAATATTTCTTTACTTATTAATCACACATTCTTTAAAAAAAAAAAAAAATCACATTTCAAAAATTAAAATCGAAAGAAATAATAAAATAGATAGTACTTATAACAATTATTGTGAGTTTCGATAGATAACAGAGAAATACTTATATGCCTTATAGTTTCAATAGACGTTCTAGTGTTTTAATGCTTTTTTTATGTTCAAATATTTCATAGAGATATTGGAAATGTCACTTGAAAGTATATATTTAATATTACCCGCTAGAGATTATAAATAATTTAGGAACATTGATTAAATGAATACATATTGTCATGATATTAAATCGCATTAAATTGAATTAGCAAGGGGATTCAAAATCTTAGTGCATGTTTAACACTATTTTGCAAAAGCTTTCATAAATCACTCATTCAAATAGTTAACTTAATTAGATAAATTAGTATAGAATTGACAATCAAAATTAGTCTATTCAACTAAAGTTAACATTAATTTATATTAGATTAAGTATATAATCCTCATGATAAGGATATTCTATTTATCATTATATTACTCATCTACGATACCGTGAATTTGTAGTAATTTGTGCCATCAAAAACCTAAATTGGAAAATATTGGTGCTCAACATAATAAATTTGTTTTTTGTTTTCTTTTTCCCTTCTCTTTTCTTTTATCTCGTGTTTTATTTAGATATAAAAATGTTAGAATTTGAGTATGATCCAAATTCCTTGTTGAAATAATTGAAAAATTCTAATTGAAATGCACGTCAAGAAGATTTCTAGTTTTAAATGCTATTGGAATCCTATATCAAGTCGAAGTTTCACTTTGGAAGCTCATTGAGAGTTAAAAATTTGGTATTGGATTTGAAGAAGAGTTTGGAATGGAGAAAATAATTTGAAAAAAAAAAAAATTCCTGGGCAGAACACCCGACGCAGCGGCGCCCACCTTACCCATTCGGGTTTTTCGCGTTTTTCTTTCTTATTTCGTTTTGGATTCGATTTTTTGGCATCCTACTTCATCAACAATTCTACGATTCGAATTTGGACGTCCCTTACATATTCCCTATAAATAGTAGGTTCTTCTATACAATTTCATAAATGTGAAAAAATAAATTATTAGAATTATTCGATCCATTATAATTTTCTCTTTTCTTCATTATCTTTGAGTCAATAAAATCTCTTAATTTCTCTATCATATTTCTTGTCTTTAGTATTCTTTTACTTGATCAAATACTTTATTATTATGCCATATAACTTCAACATCTTAATCCGATGGTTGGTTTCACAAGAAGTGGTATCAGAAATATTCCGGTATTGACTTTGTTTACAATAAGAGGTATAAGAGCTTTTCGTTATGGTAGGTTAAGATGCGTGCAGTACTCATATAATAAGATTTGGATGATGCATTACTAGGAATTGACAAGATGCCCGCAACTTTGACCGCGGAGGAGAAATTACGGAAGGATAAGAAGGCAGTTTCTCAAATTCATCTTTATCTATCGAATACTATTCTTCAGGACGTTTTGAAAGAGGTTTCAGTAGCTGCTCGATGGTTGAAGTTGGAGCAATTGTGTATGACTAAAAGTCTGACAAGTAAGTTGAACTTCAAACATCGTTTATATTCTCAAGCTTACCGTTTTTCTCCTAGTAACCTTCTAGTTGATCGACATAAATTTCTCTGGCAGTGACTAAACTTTTGAAACTTTGTAGAGTATGATGAAGAAGATTTGGCCTTGATCCTATTGTGTTCGTTCTCCACTTCATCTTCTTCATTTAAAGACACGATCTTGTATAGTCGTGATATTCTCACCATAGAGGAAGTGTATGATACTTTGTACTCAAAAGAGAAGATGAAGTGTCTGATTTCTGAGGTCAGAGATGGAGAAGGCCTGCTTGCTCATGGTGCTTCTGGAAGGGGCAGATCGAAGTCGAAATTTAGTAATCAGTTTTGTAACTAATGCAAGAAGAAGGGGGGGCACGTGAAGAAGAATTGTTACAAATTGCAAAATAAAGAAATGATTGGTACAAGAGATATTCAGATACTTCACGCGAAGCAGATCTCGCAGAGAACGTTGTAAGTGATGGAGATCTTGGATTCTTGATTCAGCGTGTGTGTTTCATATATGTCCTAATAAGGACTTGTTTACTACAAACGAAACTGTTTCCAAAGGTATCGTTGTTATGGGAAACAACGCACCTTGTTAACAATGACACCTTGTCGGGTTGTTAGAATTGGTATGATCAGATTGAAACTTTTAGATGGAACAATTAGAACACTTGGCCATGTTCGACATGTTCCGAATTTGAAGAATAATTTTATCTAATTGTATGTCCTTGATTCAAAATGTTATGAGTTCTTTGGTGGAGGTGTAGGTGGAGGTTTGAAAGTTTGTAAGGGTGCCCAGGTTGTATTGGAGGGACAGAAAAGGACTCAATTATACATCTTGCAGGGTCGTGTAGAATTTAGAAGAGTCAATCAGTACATGTTCAGTACTGTGGTAGACATTCAGTTTAATACAATACCTTTAAGAGTTCTTAAAGGGTTGGATTTGAAGAATACTACTCAGTGGAGTTCATGAGATATGGATAATGCCGCTTTTCCACCATCACTCGCGGTGTCATTGTATTCAATTGTTAAGGACGGACCCAATGGAAAAGGGCATGTGGATTCTGATTTTGTTGAGCATGCTTTAAGTGGAGTAGAAGGAGTACAATCTAGCAAGGGACGTTTTTTAAAAACATTTAGGTTTGATTCTACTTTGGGGTGTGTTGGGTGTGTTACAATCAAATTTGGTAAATTATAAAGTCATTACGGTTTTTGGGAATCTGAGATAATTCTATAAAAGTAGTGCTTGTATTCATTGAAAGAGGTGGAATATTGTGTTATGTTGGAGAAATTAATTTTTTGGTTATTATTAAAGAAGTGAGTTTATTCCTTGGTGGAATTCGTGTAAAGGTGGAGATTGTTAGAATTTAGGTGTGACTCGAATTCTTTGTTGAATTAATTGAAGAATTTTAATTGAAGTGTATGTCAAGAAGAATTCAAGTTTGGAATGATAAGGTCATATGTCAAGTTGAAGCTATATTTTGGAAGCCCATTGAGAGTTAAAAATTTGGTATTAGATTTGAAGAAGAGTTTGGGATGGAAAAAAGAATTTGAGAAAAATAATTCCCGGGCAGAACACTCGGAGCCGCGACGTCCACCTTGTCTGTTCGGGTTTTTCGCTTTTTCTCTCCTATTTCATTTTGAATTCGATTGTTTGGCATCCTGTTTCATCAATAACTCTACTAAGAGGGTTTAGATGTCCCCTAAATGTTCTCTATAAATATTAGATATTTCAATACAATTTCATAAATGTGAGAAAATAGATTACTAGAATTATATGATCTATTGTAATGTTCTCTCTTCTCCATTATTTTTGAGTCAATAAAATCTCTTAATTCTTCTGCCATATTTCTTATCTTTATTATTTTTTTGTTTGATCAAATACTTTATTATTGTTTCATATAATTTCAACATCTCAATCCGATGGTTGATTTCACAACAAAAAGTATAATAGTTTTTTTAACAAAAAAAAAAAAAAAACTAACTTTAGATTGTATAGCTAACAAAATGTGACGTGTCTTGCAACGACTTTTATCAATTTCCTCATGCCGATAGGTCTGTAAAATAACTGTTAGGATATTCTAAAGTTGTGCTCTAGAGGGGGTTGAGAATATTGGTATTATGAGGGATGTTCAACCATATCTATCAATATTTTTGGAAAATTACTTGTATAATCTCATTTTCAAATCTCTCTCTTCTTCTTCATCACCTAGTAATTCTTCATCTAGTTTGACCGTAAAATATTTTCATACAGATTAAAGGAATGAAAAGTCGATAGTTATCAAACCAAAAACATTTCGCTTAACAGTCCTCATGCTGAAGTTTTATGGAATAAAGACTGAGTTGAAGCAGTTGCACATATTTTGCAGGAAAAGTTTTATCCATTAAATTATTCAAGCAGCTAGTAATTTTGTTTTGGGACAAGTTTAGTGGGAGATTGGGCCGGGCTATAGCCCTGTCTAGTCCCCGACTTGTGCTTTATTTATTTTTAACATATTAGTCTGACTTGTAGTCCAATCTTGAATTTGTCTATGATTTTATTGATAGTAATTGTGCTCCATAATATCTCATCAAAGGTACTGGATGCTTTTGACATAGGCATGTCTCTGTTAGGCTCAAGTGGCTGGTAAATTTTTCCCTCGATTAATAATAGTAGGTTTACCATTTTGTGATGAGTTCGTGCAATTTTTGCTCATGTTTATGATAGTTTGACCAAAATTCTCTTGAATTTTCTCTTCCCTGACTTAAATTGATGTTAGGGTCCGTTTGATAGAAAAATGTGGAAAGAAATTCCAATTCCATGTTAGTTGAAAAATAAAAATCCACCAAATCCATATGAATTCGTTTTCCATGAAAACAAATAACATGCAGTTTAAAGTGGTTGTAC